TTTATTGTTAAGATGAACACCCAGGTACTTATAACATGTCACCATCTCAATGTCCTTTCCCTGGATGTTCACCGGTGTTGGGGGGAGGAGTCTGCGCCTGCTGAAATCCACCATCAGCTCTTTGGTTTTTCCTGCGTTGATCTGAAGGTGGTTCCTCAGGCACCAGTCTACAAAGTCCTGGTTCAGTTCTCTGTACTCCCTGTCTTCCCCATCTGTGATGAGGCCGACTATGGCAGAGTCGTCAGAGAACTTCTGCAGATGACAGGTGGGGGTGTGGTATGAAAAGTCTGCAGTGTAGAGGGTGAAGAGGAACGGTGCCAGCACTGTCCCCTGCGGGGCCCCCGTCCTGCAGACAACCAAGTCCGATACACAATCCTGGGTCCTGCCATACTGCGGCCGGTCCGTGAAGTAGTCCAGGATCCAGGATGTGAGGTGATTAGCCACCCCTATGTGCTCCAGTTTGTCCCTCAGAAGCGCAGGCTGTATGGTGTTGAAAGCGCTGGAGAAATCAAAGAACTTGATTCTCACAGAGCTTCCAGGCTTCTCCAGGTGAGAAAGAGCTCTATGCAGGAGGAAGATGACGGCGTCGTCCACCCCAATGCCAGGCTGGTAGGCAAACTGTAGCGGGTCCATTGAAGGGCCTACTGCAGGGCGGAGATGAGACAGGACCAGGCGCTCCAGAGTCTTCATGAGGTGTGATGTTAATGCCACCAGTCTGAAGCTGCTGAAGTCCTTGGGATGCAGAGTCTTGGGCACAGGTACCACGCAGGATGTCTTCCACAGCTGTGTTTCTCTCCCCAGCCTCAGGCTCAGGCTGAAGATGGTTTCAACTATCCCGCACAGTTGGTCTGCGCAGGACTTCAGGAGCCTGGAGCTGATGCCATCTGGACCCGCAGCCTTCCTCGTCTTTATCCTCCTCAGCTGATCTCTCACCTGACAGGTAGTGAAGGACAAGCAGCTCAATGTCCCTGCAGCAATGCTGTTCCTTGATAATGATGTGCCCAGAGTTACACCATCTGTCATTCACAAACACAGCCAGCCCCCCTCCTTTCCTCTTACCGCTGTCCTGTCGTTACATTGTCATTGTGAGAATTTTAGTATGCTTACATTAGCATTTAGCTCAAAGTTCAACTGTACCTTAGTCTCAGAGCTGCCTTTCAAAATGACACTGAGTTATGAGAACTTTGAGAACCCCTTAACTTCGATTAAGATGTTTTAAAATGCTCTTAAAAGGTCAGTTTAGTGAAGTTTCTAAAAATACACTTATTTATATTTATTGAAAAGTTACTGAAAATTTTCTGGTATAGGATATAAATCCTCCAAACCAGACTCTCAATCTATCATATTCAAATTCTACAAATTATCCTTTGTTGACCAGAATTCATCCAATGTAACTGTGTATGCTGAGGGGGGAGGGGGTTGGGGATTTCACTCAGATCCCCCTTCACAGTTGGGTTGCAGAGGGTGTAAATTGAAAATGTAATGGGAATGAATGGGGTTGTGATTACTGCTCATTGCACTCACACCAACTACATATTCATTCTGTTGAGCCTGGCTTAACTGTGCAATAACTGATGCAATAATTAAACTACAGCAATATTCTGTGCAATGATTCAACTGTGCAACATCCTTCCTTTTCTTACTACTCCTGAATGCATATTTTACATGTTGCACATTTTATTCTTATTCCGTGTGTATATACTGTGTTGTACATTGTCGCATTATACACATATTTTATATTTCTAACTTTACATACTAGTTTTATACATTGTATTGTGGCATAAGTTGCATTTTTTTTACACACTTTACATCCTCAGCACATTAAACATATTTTATATTTTACATACAAATGTTAACTTTGTAGAATATTGCACAATGTCCTATTTCTACTTCTATAATTCTCTGTACTTGTTATCAGAGCAACTGTAACGAACCACAATGTCCCCACAGGGATCAATAAAGTATTTCTGATTCTGATGATAGTATGACATTAACAATAAACATTTTGTGAGGTCATTCTTTTGCCTATGCTTTGTTTTTCGCTCTTTTGGTGGATGAACTCCATCAGAGTTCAGATGGCACACCTTATTCTGTTTTATACAAACCCTGTATATATCATATCAAACTGTCTCTTTAAAGAAAGCATCAGTACAGCTCAAGATTGAAATCTCATTTATTTTAGTTATGTACAGAAGAAAAATGCTGAATTTCACAAGTAACAGAAAAATAAAAAATAAGATCACATCTCATCTCTCTAGCCTCTGTAACAGAGGCGCACTAGGTCATGATAACAGCTCTCTGTCTCTCGTATATGGACACACACATGCACTCACACGCTGCCTCTATGTCTCTCACACTCTCCAGCTCTCTCTCTCTCTTTCATCACCTTAAAATGTTAAAAAATGTATTTCTCTCTGGTAGATATGTTATACTGCATTTTGCGGGTAGCTGTGCTGTTGTGAGTCGCTGCTGACATTAAAACTATCCTGTTGTCTGGGTTCGGTGCGTTTCTAAGCAGTGAGTAGGTGTATATGTGGGGGTGAGACTCTAGTCAAATATAATTCTCTGTATGTGCCATCCTGTCCAACCCACGTAGACATACACACCATTTATATGCATATACACAATGGCATTAATGTGAGCAACCACACACATACACACAAGAAAGCATTCACACTTTTCCTCTATGTTCTTGTGTCTCCATCTCCCAGCTCCGCCTTTATGCCATGATTCAGTTCACAAACATGATCCCCTCCAGGTGAGGGGCTAAAGATGACAGGTGATTTCTCAGCCCTGTGATTAACAAATGCAAAATTATATATATTAATAACAAAAAACTATCCCATTGAATTAAGTGTTCTCTTTTAGCTGTCTCGCATCCGTTTCCTGCATCACTCCTGTCCAAATCCCTCCGTCTCCTCAATGGCGAACAGGAGTTTCTCTCGGAGCTGCTCCAGGCTTCTGTAGGGCGGCAGGTCCAGACGGTTGAAGCTGTGAGGAAGAGACAAACAGGAGGAGACAGGCAGGTCACTATTAGTCATTCCTCTTTGTGGATTCACAGAGTGGAATAACCACAGGTCTGTCTGGCAACAGGCCTGACTCAGACACAGCACAGCAGTGTTGGGGATACTGGGTTGTTCAGGATATTGGTTTGACATTAGCAGGTATGTTCCTGTCAGGGTTCACTTTTCATGACTGATACCAAGCACTTTGATTCTGTCTGAACTCTGGACGTCTCTGCTGTCTCACAATCCTACACAAAAAGTGACCTGATACCAGAGATGGGGACTCGAGTCGCTGTTTTGATGACTTGTGACTTGACCTGACAAAAAATAAAAGACTTGAGACTTGACTCGGACTTGGAAGTCAAAGACTCGAGACTTGACTTGACTTGAGACACGATGACTTGAATGACTTGAGTGTTATTCACATCATGTTTTTGGTTAGAATATAAAATGAATAAATTAATTTAAAAAATAATGTCGATTACCCGATAGGAGCGCAGGCTGAGAATGGCGTTGTCATGATTGGATCACTACCCTGTCAATCAGTCATTCCCTCTCTACGTACCTTACGTGTTTATTGGAGAAACAGGCCCTCTTATATCAGATAGGCATCAACATGTCAGCGGGAGGGGTACCGAGAGTCATTGTCTTCGGCTTTCGGAATTACCATTATTACGGCAAAAGACGAACAGCACAGTGCAAGACATGCGGCATAAACATCTCGGACAGCCAGGCGACAACTTCAAACTTTGTTCGTCATTTGAAGAGCCATTCTGTCCAGTAAGTGCTTGTCAATTTGCTAATATTATCTGGATAGTCGGTAGTTAGCTAACGTTAGCTTGATACGATACGGGGGTGGGGTGGGGTGGGGGGGTCGGTTTGGTGGAACTTGTTTTTTAAACAACCCCAGAAAACGTGAGCGAACATTCCGACCGGTTCATCACAAGACCGGCTGTACGTTTTATGAACGAGCAACACAGGGTTAAATGAGCTAAATGGGTGATTTTGGCCGCTGCCTTGGTTAGTGTGTGTGTGTGTGTGTGTGTGTGTGTGTGTGTGTGTGCGCGCGCGCGCGCACGCATGGGGGTCGTCCCTGCAAAGTAAACACTGCAGCGATGAAGTCAATGTTTACTGACAGTTACTTATATCTTGTCTTTTCACTTTATTAAGATCAGATGCTGCAGGTAAAATTGCAATAATAAGGTGACTTGACTTGGACTTGACTTGACATGACCTGTGACTTGACTTGACTTGCCCAAGAAAAAATGACTTGGGACTTACTTGAGACTTGAAGGTTAAGACTTGAGACTTACTTGAGACTTGCACGTGTGACTTGGTCCCATCTCTGCCTGATACGAAGGGAGCTCCCAAACACTCCCTCACTGTGATCAGACTCCACACAAGTGTAGTGAATAAATGCATTTTAATCTTTACTTCTTTAATCACCATGGGTTTAAAGTTATAATCCTCAAGATTTAATTAAATTAAACCAGTTTTTCAAACATTGGCCTGTCACTGTATTTACAATAATTACCTCCCCATGTAGTAGCTTCATTTTTAGTGGCGGAGTCCGCCATTCCAGCTCTGGTTTGAAGGTCCAGTGTGTAGGATTTAGTGGCTTCTAGTGGTGAAGCTACAGATTGCAACCAAATGAAACTTCTCCCGTATTCCATGGGTGTAGAGGAAGTACTTTGGTTGGTGCAAAAATGCAAATGGCCCTATCTAGAGCCAGTGTTTGGTTTGTCTGTTCTGGGCTTCCGTAGAAACAACCTGGCAGACTCCATGGAGGAGGACCTGCTCTGTATGTCGATAAAAAAGGCTCATTCTAAGGTAATCAAAACACAATGATTCTTATTTTCAGGTGATTATACACTAGTAAAAACATAGTTATGAATTTTGTATTCTATTTCTGCCAATATGTCCTGCTAATACTGCACATTGGACCATTAAATGGCCTACCTATACAAGAGGGATTCACTAGAAACAATGCAGCTGCATGTAATCCAGTACAAAATGATCTAAGCTTAAAGATGCACTTGCTATCTTTTTGGAGCTTTTAATCGCATCATCTTCCCTTCCCACTGCAGTCTTCGGTCAGTAAACCTCTGAGCTTAGATTATCTTGCTACATGTTTCCCATGTTAACAGATAAGGCATCAGCTCACCATGTGTGGCTTCTTGGAAGCCAAGTCTCCTTCCCCACCTTGTCTATGCAGAACTTCTGGGGACCGTTACTTCCTGCATGGGAAGAAAGAATAACTTCATCAAATATTAGGGCTGCAACTACGATTATTTTCACGGTTAAATATTTTCTTGATTGATTGTTTGGCCAAGAAAAGTTACAAAACCGTGAAAAATGTATATCAGTGTTTCCCAAAGCCCAATATGACGTCCTCAAATGTCTTGTTTTGTCCACAACCCCAAGACATTCAGTTTAGTGTCATAGAGGAGGAAAGAAACCACAAAATATTCACAGTTAAGAAGCTGGAATCAGAAAGCTGCTGTTAATGAAATGTCCAGTAGGTTTTTCCACAATAAAAGCCTGTAGGAAAGGCTGGGATACCATTAATGTAAAAAAAATCTGCCGGAGGTGGTGAACTGCACTCACAGTAGCTCAACACTGATGATTTCTGTTAGAGAAGAGAAAGTGAGAGCAGCAGAGTGGTTTCACACTCACCAGTGTGCCATAAAGAACAATGCCATCCTGTGGAAAAACAACCTAAAATGATGTATACGATTTCTCCATAGAATCCCCGGAAAAATGGAATCTCAACAAATACACAGTGGATAGACATCATCACTTACACCAAATATCCTTATGTCACAACCCTTTCTAAAGGAAAATGACACTTAGCCATTCATGGTTGTGACACTGTGTGAATCAGTGTTGTGTACCTATGAGCTCAGCGAAGCCTCCGACAGGCAGCCGACAGGTTCCCGTTACAAACTGAAGCAGACGGATTCTCTTCTCGTTGTCCATCTCTTTCACCACCTGCAGGAACACAACTCCGTTACTCACTGGACACACTCACATCAGCGCCAAAATATGTTGTAATGCATATACTTTATCACAGGAGACGTGTATGTGTTTAGATCCAGGCTTCTGTAACGTCTAACTGAACCACAGTGTGTCCGCACCTGCCAGAACCAGTGGATCTGCTTGCTGTTCTTGGTGTAGTGTCTATAGATGGTGTTCTTCTGCCAGTCGGCCAAGTCGATCTCCTGCATCCCACACAGCATCAGCTGCAACAAAGAAAATGATGTTTAAAGTCCACTCCAACAGAATCAGAAATACTTAATTGATGCCTGAGGGGAAACTGTGTGCAGTGTTGTGTCCTTTATTCTTAGTGTTTGTCTGACTCAGTAGGAAGAGGACAACACAGGACATTCACAGTATGTCCTATCTCTGCTTCAGGCTAATTTAATTCCCTGTGTATATTAGACTGACTTTCTGCTGGGACAGAGCTCAATCGCAGCAGGAGTCAAACTGTTCATCAGTCAGGATCAGGAACTATTCATAAACTAAACCAGCATCACTAACAAAAAAACAAGAAAAGGATTCTCAGTACACGCAGTAGAAAATTAGTGTTAACATCCTTTATTCTTGCTCTCACTCTTTCTCACCTCCTCAGTGTTTTATAAATATACACCAGTCAGCCACAACATTAAAACGACTGACAGATGAAGTTATTAACTCTGATCATCTCATTCCAATACAATGTTCAATACTGTTACAGACCAAGTACAACCCCTCATGGCAGTGACCCCCCAGCAGGACAATGCACCATGCCACACTGCCCACAAATGGCCCGAGCAACTTGACAAAGAACTCAAGGCGTCAACTTGCCTTCCTAATTTCCCAGATCCTAATCTGATCCAGCATCTGTGGGAAGTGCCAGTACCCTACCTCACAACCCACAGGACTCAAAGGATGCACTGCCAAGGCCCTGGTGCCAGACACCACAGGCCCCACTGTGGGTCAGACTTCGCTGTGACCCATCGAGGCATGGACACAGGACGTCTGGGGTATTGGCACGTCCCATGGCTGCTCAATCAGATTGGGATGTGGGGAATTTGGAAGCCAGATTGATGCCTTGAGCTCTTTGTCACATTCCTGGGGTTCATTCCTGAGCAGTTTTTGTGGTGTGGTGTGGCATGGCGCACTGTCCTGCTGGGGGGGCACTGCCATTAGACAGTGCCTTTGCCATGAGGGGATTTAAATGGTCTGTAACAGTGTTTGGGTGGTTGGTGTGTGTCCAGTGACATCCACATGAATGCCAGGTTCTAAGGTTTCCCAGCACAACATAACATTGTAATGAGACGATCAGTGTTATTCACTTTGCCTGACAGTGGTTTAAATGTTGTGGCTGATCAGTGTATGATGCTGCACGTAGTTCAAGCACCCTCAACTAAGACTTTTTAAGAGTTAAAGCTCATCTTTCAAATCTTTTTTCCTAACATACATTGTACTGCGGCTTTTTGTATCATATAAAATATAAATATAAATTAAGGAATACTGCTATCATTTCTCCCATACACAAAGAGATGTTTGAAGTACCACCACACCACAATAGGTGCTTTATTTTTCATCTATGTTTAAGACCAATTTAACCTGTGAAATAAGGAAACAAAAATAACAAAATGGCTTCTTTCTCACTGAACACAGCAAGCATTTCTGACAATATACAGTCTATGACCTATCACTGCTTTGTATGAAATATGACGGAAACTTTGGTTCATTACAATTCTTCTGACTTTTAAAGGATGTTGTTTTATTACTTTTGAATACTGATGAACCTGCTACCTCTTCCTACAGCCCTCCTGCTCCTCCTCACCTCCAGCTCCTTCTCGTCAAAGTAGCGAAGCCACTCCAGAGGGACCACTTCGTTGAAGCCGTCCAGGAAGGCTTTGGTCTGCTCCTCCACTCCACGAGTGAATCTCCAGTCTGTCAGCAGGCTGAAGGAAGGAAGAGCGGTTGGTTGGTTTTTATGGTTGCATCTCCAGCGCGGACATCACTTGGACTTTTTATTGATGAAGTTTGGATTTTTGTCTCTGGAGCTGTGGTATCTATTACTGCTGATGTTAACATACCTGATGTACTCTTCCTTGTTTTCCTCTGTGACCAGCTCGTTCTCTCCGTCGTCTTTCAGCTGGTGAGTGGAAACCTTCCCGAGGATCTCCATGTCCTGTGCAAAATACAGCTCTACGCCACACTCCTCCAGGTTGTTTTCTCTGGACAAACACAAAAAACAACCTACATTTAAGGCCTTTGCTACAGATACACTTTTTGCAAGAAGGATGATTCTTTTAAACTGAAAACCACCTGCTACTCTGCCTTTAGGGATAGAGTATGTTAAATCCCCTGGGACTGAGAACAGGGTTCCTGTGGATCCTTAAGAAGTCTTAAAAAAAAAAAAAAAAAGGCCTTAAGTAGTATCAAAATGTCTTAAAGTAGTCTTAAAGTAGTCTTAAAAATGATCAGACATGGGATGTAGGATTTTATGAATCAGTTTTTTTTTTGTGACGTTGCATTGGATAATCTCAAAACAATTTGTAACCCCTATTTTTCTTACGCAATTTACTGAATGCCTCTCACATTGCCGTGACAAAAGTTCAGGATAGTGGTCCCAAAAATGGTTGCATTTTGTTTCCGGTTGGGATGCTCAGATGAGCAGAGGATCCACTGTCTATTAGGTAGCTGTCACTTTGCCTTGGATGACATAGGGAGGTGCAAATTCAGCGTAAATTGGCTATTTAACCAAGATTTCATGGCAAGGCTGAAGCCGGTACATGGCAAAGCATACAAGGCTCAGTTTACTTAATGTAATACGTTTTTAAAACTCTGCACAATGAGATTCAAGGCTGTGGAATCCACCATGCAGAGTGAGAAACCCAAAACCGCCAGGAAAACTCGTCAGCCAATGCCAGGTATTTCACAGTTCTTAAATTTCATTTGCAGTGGCATTAATAATTAAGCTGCAGGAACCCTGGAGAAAATCAGGCTATCATTTAAAACTCAACCTATTATGTTTTCCATGGTTAGTAATCCTTAGAAATCATATTTTGGAGAGACCTAAATTTAAACAACGTTTCGATTTTATGTGGTGATTAATAAAAAGTTTTTTTCTTCTTCTGTTTTCAACATGACTGATTTCACACCTGGGTTGTTCTTGTTCAGTTCTTTCTTTCAATTACAAAACAAATAAAAAGTTATAAAAAAGAAGGAGAAGGAAAGGCCTGGAAAAATGCTATTACTAATAATTTCCCTCCACTTTCTACCCTTGTGAGCATAAAATAATAACAACACACAAACAGGTAACCCACCCTGCATTACTTACTTGACCCACATGATGGAGTTATAAAACTCAGGGTCTATGGACTCCAGGTCTTTCAGCGTGGGTTTCTTGTCGAGCATTCGCTTGTAGAATGGCAGCGTGAAGCCGGTGTCGATGAACTTTCCATGATACAAAGCCTGCGAGGAGGATTTGTTACATTAGAAACAACTCACTGCTCAAATCCAAAAAGATACACATAAAAACACAGCATCAGTTCACAAAACGTTATGATCTGGCAGCTTTAATCTTTGAAGTAGAGAAGTGGGGGGAGTATTTTTCCACTGCTGTAACTGCTGTGATATTATACCGTTATTGTATGGCTATTGGTGACATGTGGTTCAAATTTGTTCTTGACAAATTATAAATATTTTTATCTCAGTCGCTCAGTGTTTGCAGTCATGATTCACTGGGGATTGTTCCATGCCCATTCAGGTGTTAGAAATGTTTTAACAGCCAGTCACTTTTACAGGAAACATGAATGGGGCTTTTATTCTGGAATCACGACAGCCTGATTTAATCCTGCCCACTTCATCTGCTGAAATCATTTAGCATCGAACACTCCACACCTGCTTATATAT